AGTAACTAAAAATTACCAAACACACATGCAAAAAAATTGTTTTGACACCAAATGCAGCTTCTGTGATAAACATCCAGAGAAAAAGTTAACCATCTTATATCAGATTGAACAGTGTTAGCAAGAAAGTGGGCAAATATCTACGCTGGAAAATATGCAATATTTACGGGAAGGAAACTGCAAGAAATTGATATGTATATCACGCAGACCCTCTTACAGAGATGGGACCTGTGACAATTCTTTAGGAATTTACAATACACACACACAGAACAATCAAGGCTAATCGCCCAGATATCGCAATTAAAGACCAAAAAAGACAGAATGTGCTTTCTTATTGACATGGCAGTCCCTACAGATTGTAATGTATCTTTGAAGATTTTCAAAAATCAAATCTATCAAAATACAAGGTTCTTGAAATGGAAATCTAAAAAATATTTCATATGATAACATTAATAATTCCAGTTGGGGAACGTCGGATTGATTAGGAAAAGTTCCAATAGACTCATTGAAAAGATTCTTGGTAGCCCTTTCTTTAAAGAAATGCAAAAGAATTACTCGCAAGTCCATCCTCAGACCATACAAAGGGATTTATCTAAGACTAGCAGCATGGCCCGGCGTTGCCCGTGCTTGATTTAAAAATTGTACGACTCATACAGCAATCGCTATCACTTGACTTAAAATATTTTTGCCCTTCCTTGCTTTTAAAGGTGTGCCTTTTGCCGTGCTGATGTTGCTATATGCCTTACTTCTTGCCTATCTCACACTGCGAATTTTTTCTAAGATCTATACTAAACATTAAATCTGTTACGAAAAACAGAACTAAACAAAATGAACACAAAACGGTCAGCTTTAAAAAAGGACACGTAACTGGAAAAACCGAATGAAAAAAGAATGTTAACAACAAATACTTTTTCATACCCAACCCAGTTCTGCAGAATCAGAATCAACGTTGAGTTTAAGCAAGCGAATGAGCCAATTGGAGTAAAGTGCCATGCAGATTTAAATTTTTCCCACTTGTGACGAATGCAGTTATCTATTTTTTTGCATGCTAGTTAACATTCGTGTTAGTCAGCTGTTTGCTCTCACGCTGTCTAATAGAATCTTCCTGCCTATTCGTGGCAGCCAGCTACAGGCTCTCATTCTGGCCAATAGAAAATGGCCGCAAACTACATGAAAACTGCCGTAGAAACATGAAAAAGTCGGTTTTTTCCACTATCAATGGGAGATGGGAAATGCAAGTTCGGTCTTGGGCTTCCCGCTAACTTGGAGCATGTGCATGTAAATTTTGGTGCAAATCCGTCGAAAATTGCGGCCGTGAATTCGTTACACACACACACACACACACACACACACACCCTGCCTTTTATAGATAGAGATGTCTGAGAATTTAGGTTTTTGGGAGTTTCTCTTGCAAAAATGATCAATGGGATATGTCATGAAGCCATTTCTGACCCTAGGTCACTGATTAAGATCCAGAAGGAAATGTGTATACAACAAAGATCAAAGGAAATAATAATAATAATAATAATAATAATAATAATAATAATAATAAAGAATTATCTAATTTTCTTATCCCCCAAATGAATTTAGCAATACTTACATTGCAAAATGAAAACACACTGAAAATGTTAACGGTTCCCACCATTCTGGGACTTCAAACAGACAGAAAAATTGAAGCAAATAGGGGACATTATTGTCAAAACCCTCGTCATTAATTGTGGAAAATCCAGCGATAACAAGGAATTGAAAAAATATCAAAATACAAAGATATGAAATCAAAATGAAAAAATGTGGAAAATTTGAAAACAAAATAATACCAAACAAAAGGTGCACTTGGTTTAAAAATGGCCAATCAATTGAAAGAATCCTGGAAACCCCAGCTTAAGAGACATACAGAAAATTGTCTTATTAATATTGTAATGTTTAAGGAGAACTTGTCTATGTAACGCTAGCAACTTCATCGGAAAAAAAAAAAAAAAAAAAAAAAATTAATGAAAAATAACAACACACCACGACCTGCCTTAGGTCTTTCCGCAGACTTGGTAGGTAGTGTGTCCATTGAAATCGTGCAAGATAATAATAATCAGTTATTTTTTTTTTTTATGAAGCATTAGCGTTTGAGTTTTTGTTTCCTGTTTTTGTTTTGTTTTTTGTTTTTTTTTTTTTTAATTAATTCATTATTTTTCAGCCTTACTTTTTAAGATCCACGTAAAATGTAACGAACCTAATCGAAATTCGAATTACGATTTCTTCTATTCTACACCATCCAATATGTAGAAATTATTAATTGCATTATTATGTCATACAATTAATACTCATATATTTTCGACCACCAAATAATATCTGTTGTTTCTCCGAAAACGCAAAAAAAAGTTACAAAAATCTATTTACAGACCCTGAATGGAATATTGTCCTACCGAATAGATTGCAACAAGGACTATTCTTGTGTATCCACTTTTGATTTGTCTTTCAAAACATTATTACAGACGAATAATATTACCATTACTATTCTCACAGATCCACTGCTGATGTCCTGTATTGTATAAGTGATTATTGCAGACTTTCAATAGAAAAAATAATAGTTAAACCATTACTATTCTCACAGATCCAACATATCTGAAATCATTTCTTTGAAAACATTATTTTTCTTTTACAGAGACAGGAATAGAAATATTCAGAAACATCCCCATTTACTAATTAATTTCTTCACAGATTTTCTTTCCACTGCTTGTTAAGACATTTATTTACTGTTTATTCAAATTCCATACAGACGAATAATAGTTTTACCAAATATTGTTTGCAGAACTATTCTCAAACAAGTAATCCGTTTCTGCATTAAGCTAAAATGACGTCATGAACTGGAATAAAAATTATAAAACAAATAATTCAACCGTCCTCATTACCATTACTATTCTTTTCCATAGATCCGCAATGTTGATTTAATTGAACATTATTATTGCAGACGAATAATATTACCATTACTATTCTCACAGATCCACTGCTGATGTTCAGACTTAACATTATATATATATATATATATATATATACTATATATATATATTCTCACAGATCCACTGCTGATGTCTGAACTATTATTACAGAGAGATATGGTGAACACCTCGTTGGGGGTTTTTATTATAAAAAGTATTACTTTATGCAGCTTATAGGTTTGCTACACAGACTCTCCAGCTATAACATCTCAATTATCAATATCATTTTTCTCATACATACATATACATAAAAGTCATATATACATATATATACATACATTTGGGGCACCTCTCTTCCAAAGCCTATGTGATCAATGCTGGCGTTCTCCAAGTCTCTCCCTTAGGCCCTACCCACTTTCTGGTTTTTACATTACCGATATATACACACACACACAACATTTTATACATCATTAGAAAGATATATATATATATATATATATATATGAAGTTAAATTTTCATAGACGTCCAGAACAAAATTAACCTGTTGAACGGGGCCTCAAAGAGAAAAATGTTATATTTCAAAAGAAGAAACGTCTGAAACCTGAAAAAGAAAATGGTTCATTTTTTTGTTCAAATGGTGTAAAAGGTGGTGAGACAAATAAAAATAAACAAAAAACGGGATCATTTCACCTGTTCTTTCCTCTCTGTTTTAACATTTTTGTTTGAACGGATATTTACTTGAATGGCTCGACATTCAACAAAAGCAAACTCCATGGTTCAATTTCAGAAAATAACGCCAGATTTATTTACTGTCCAATGTATTGTAAACTTATATATAGGATCCATTGCTAAAAATGGAGAAATGATCGACTAATTAAAACTGGTGATCATAGAAAACAACATATCAGGCTCTTTCTGTCAAAGATGAGTTTATAAAGGAAGTGGCTCCCTGATTGGCCACTTCACGGTTTTGAAAGAAAATCCGGTTCCTTCGTACGATCTCCAAATAAAGAAAGTTAAGCAATGTCGAGACTAAAATGGATATCAAATGTGACTCAAAAAGAAAATATAACACACTGGTAACCCTTTACTTCAAAAGAAAATTAGGAGTCGTCATTGTGAATAAAAGGTGATAATAAGGTTTGATGTGCTTAAACGTGGTTTCATTTCAATGGACAATGGCTCGGAATTGTTAATCGGAAAGTCGAGTTCCGTTTTAATAATCTATTTATTCCATCCATCTAGTATTCTTTCGTTCGTTCTTTCGTCTTTCTAATTTACCATTACTTTCTAGCCTTTTTACAGACTTTCTACCAAACTATTCTCACAGATTTTTTCTCCTTTCGAATTTTATTCTATTTCAGATCCTGCTGATTCATTTGCAGACGAATAATACTACCATTCCTTTCTCACAGATCCCTTCTGAAACTTCCTTTTCTTTTTATTTTCCACTGCTGATTTTTTCGAATAATTTCATTTCTTTCTTTCTTTGAACTTTATTTTTTATACTATTCTCACAGATCTGCTGATTTGAACTAGCAGACTTACCATTACTATTCTTCAGATCCCTTTCTGATTCTGAAACATTATTACAGACGAATTTTCATTCTTTCTCCTTCTTATCATTAGGAAGAAACCTCGTTGGGGTTTTATTATAAAAAGTATTACTTTATGCAAACTTATCGCTATAACATCTCAAATCACTTTTTTTTCTGAAACACCGGTCCTCGTGAATAGCCACTCTTCCAAAGCCCATGTGATCAAGCGTCAAGTCTCTCCCAATAGGCCCTACCACTTTCTGGATGGGGACCGTTTAGAAAACACCTGGTACTCCCAAAATTAACCCCCAAAGTCCAACCTGGTTACCTCTAACAAGTCGGTGGGGGGTGTAAAAGGTGGTGTCTACAACCGCCCGAAACTTCGTTCATTGGAACGGACCCCACTTGAATGGCTCGACGGACAAGGTCTGTTCAACACAGATCTCCGTGTAAATATAGGATCCATTTAAAAATGGAAAAAATCAAGGAGAACCGATTGTACCTTACCCCTTTCTGTCATGCTTTATAAAAAAACGGCCACATCACGTTGAAAACCGGTTCCCGTACGATCTCCGAAGTTAAGCAATGTCGAGACTTGTAAGTACCTAGATTGGTAACCGTTTGTGAATACAAGGTGATGTAAGGTTTGATGTGCACGTGGTGTCAATGGACAATGGCTCGGAATTGTTAATCCGAGTTCCGGCTATTTATTCCATCCATAAGTATTCTTTTCGTTCGTTCTTTTCGTCTTTCTTTCTTTCTAGCCTTTTTCTGACTTTCTTCCAAACTTTTTTCTCCTTTCTTTTATTCTTTCTCCTTCATTTCTTCCTCCTTTCCTCCCTTCCTTCCTTTCTTTTATTTTCTGTTTTTCTTTCTTTCTTTCTTTCTTTCTTTCTTTCTTTCTTTCTTTCTTTTTTATCATTCTTTCTTTCTAGCCTCTTTTTCTTTCTTCTTCTTTCTTTTTCTTTCTTTTTTTTCTTTTTTCCTTCTTTCATTAGGAAGAAACAACCTTTTTTTCAAATTTTTCTTTCAAATGATCACCTTTAGAGCCAGGTCAATACTTAGATGGGGACCGTTTGGCTTTCACCTGGTCTCCTTCTCCAACCCTTTTCAGTCTTTCTAACCTTTTATTTTCACGTTCTGACACTTCTTAACAAGGGCTTTCAGGAGCTTTCGGCTTCTGGTTTCCTGTCTGTGGGAATCCCGCGGCAAGCAAGAACGTTATCCTTTCTAATTTATTCTTCTTTTTCCGCCCAGGTGAATACAGTAGTTCTTTCCTTTTTTTTTTTTCTTTATTTCTAACCTTTTTTTACCTTTTTCTTTTTCTTCTTCCTTTTATTTTCCTTCTTCCCTCTTTCCTTTTCTTTTTTTTTCTTTTCTTTTCCTTTCTTTCTTACAATTTCTTTCTTTCTTTCCTTTCTAACCTATCTTTTCTTTTCTCTTTTCTTTTCTTTCTCCTTCCTTTTGTCCTCCCTTCCTTCCTTCTATTTTTCTCTTTTCTTTCCAATTTTTCTTTCTTTCTTTCTTTCTTTCTTTCTTAACATTCTTTTCATCCTTCTTTCTACTTTTTTCCCAACCTTCTTTCTTCCTCCTTTTATTTTTTCTCTTTCCTTTTCCTTCCCTTCTTTTTTTCTATCTTTCTTTATTTTTTCTTTCCATCTCATTTTCTTTCTTACAATTCTTTTTAACTTCTTACGATTGTTTCCTTCTGATATTTTTTTCATCAGTCATCCTGACTTTCTTCATTTTGCTTCACTCTTTTGTTCTTTCTTTCTTTTTTTCCCTTTCTTCCTTCATTTCATTTTTTTTCTCTTTTTCTTTCGTTTGTTTTCAAGTTTTTATTGTATAGTTTTTTCCTCGTCCGCTCTTCCTCTCTTTCTTCCTTCCTTTCGTCTATATTTTCTTTCTTTCTTTCTTTCTTTCTTTCGTCATCCTTATTATATTCTTGTCTTCCTTCTTCATAATTTTCGCAGCTCGATCCCTCATATGGGTTTCATAGCGCTTGATTTAGTGAGCTATAAATAGACGTGACGTCATAATACTGCTAACGATGTCAACATTTCGACAAAAGTTTGCTTGATTAGCCTTATTCATTCATATTCTTTTTCTGTCTCCCTCTTTTCTTATTTCAGAACTTTCTGAATTTTTTTTATTTTACTCTACGTACATCTACGTACATCTCCGTTCGTTTTTCACGAAATTTCCTATCAGATCTCTTCATTCCTATTTTCAGAGTTGACTCTTTTTTCCTCGCTTTACGAAAGTTCTCTATCCGACATTTTTTTTACACGAAAATCTTGAATTCATACTTTTTACGCATTCAGAAAGAAACCTTTTTTTTTCATTTTGCTTCTTTACTGTCATTTGTAATTTTTTTACACTTTACTTTATGTAATGAGGAATCATTTTCTTTCATGTTTATTTATATACACGCTGAAAAGCCATCCTATCGGAGGGCTCTTGATTCGGCCTTCATGACAATAGCTAGTGAGGAGTAGATGCAATAGGCAACAATAAACTACAGAACAACTCAAAACTAATCGCTGCTTTTAAGTATTGCATTAATATTTAAGTTTACCTTTTATAAGTTCAACGATAATTCTTCTGTTCCCACTTTATTTAAAGACGATTTGATGTGCGTAGGTCCTTACTTCCCGTACAGACAATTATTTTTATTTCATGGGTGACTTTCGCTGGATTTCCTGTCAGAGTTTTTCAGGAATTCTGTCTCCAGCCGCCTTTAAATTAGTCAGTTGTTTTAGATAATCATGAAAGTAGTCCTTTGAAGAAGCTGACCACCAAAAAAGCCGAATAGGTGGTCTCTTGTTCTGGAACAGAAAGGGAGGGATATGTATATAGAGACCCCCAACCATTAACCATAAACGTAGAGAAAGGCGTTCAGCAGTCACCGAAACTTGGGGTAAGTAGGTGTCATGGGTCCTTACCTATAACTACAGAATGAACTCTTCCTAACACTATGTATACTACGCCTCTCAAGAGAGAGGGTCGAAACAAGCCGAGCTTCTCGGCTTGACGGTCGAGCTCTCTGCTTCTGACCAGAGACGAACACGGACGAGGCTCCGCCGAAGGGCAGAGTCTCGTTCGGGGAGGTTGACCAACCCGATCTCGTTTATACGGGTTCTACGGGCATTTTTTGGCCGAGCCTACGGGCTCGGGAAACCCATGTTAAACTCGGCCTTGTGCCACATGCAACCCTCGTGGAGGGGTGGCTAGATACCGAAGAGTCGAGCCGATAGTAGTTCACTCCAACCCAGACTGACAGTCATACTAACACCTTCCACATCTTGTATTATTATTTCGTGTAATATACCTTCGTTATTTCTACTCTTGTGTTCGTGTTGTTCTTCCTTGGTCCTAACCTGGACCATAACAGTAGGTATGTGACTAGTGAGTGAGTAATTGGCTAGCGGCCTGTGAGGAAGGAACCAGCGAAACTTAGCGAGGTAGCAGGTCAGCCGAAGGAAAATTAGAATTCTTATTGTTGCTATTTCCCAACCAGAGAGACTGAAAAGCATTTGTAGTTATTTTCTTTATGGAATACGATCACGGCTAAAGTGAAAAATCTGCGAATATAGCGAATCGGTTGTATATGAAGAAACATCTGTCCTTAGATGTCATCACAGGTGCAATGAACGAGCGAATGACGTCGTCACACTTCTATAAAAACACATTTCTGTTGTCTGCCTGTTTCTCTTCGTCTGGGAGATTTTCCAGTATTCACTTCTATATGATAGATAGCACACAGCAACCCAGCAGCTTTTCGTTCTCTCATATGTGTCCAAGGAATTTCAGCTGTCTCTTCCAGATTCGGAGCATAAGTGTTCTTTGTGTTGCCGTTTTTGTTTAAAACTCGTTGATTACTCGCTACGTCAAGGCAATACTCAGTATACTTCTGTAGAAAAACATTTCTGTTGTCTGAAGTTTTCTCTTTATCTGTGAGATTCTCCAGCATTTGTTACAGGTTTTTGGTTATATGTACTAGTGAGCCAACCAAAATGAGTTGACTCATTTTATAGTTCACCAAGAGAAGGGTTAACCAATCAGAAAGCTCAAAATATTCAATCCGACGTGTATAAAGGCAGCCATTTTGTTTTTTCTCTCAAAATATCTTCACTGCCAACGTCTGATATCGAAGACTTAAAGAATTACTTAACAACTGCTACTTACTCCGAATCTTCACTGCCAACCTCTGATATTGAACATATTACGGACTTCACTGGATTCTATATTCAGAGACTACGGCAAACATGGTTAACAGCATTCATTTCCATATAAGATAAAGCCCAGCATTCCAACAGTCTCTCAGCACTTTGCTTAGCTTTTGTAATGCATATTTCGCTAAACCAATGCAGGCTATGATTTCGGTGACACCTTTTCCATATCTGTTCATACTTTTCGATAAAACAGATTTAAAAGAACAACTGCTGCCTTATTATACTAAATTCCTCTCTTTTGTAGCTGTTAGCAACGTTTGTTTTGTTTTTATACTATCTCGCCCTACCTCTTTTCTTCAATGAATTTTTATAAGCTCTTAGGGTAGGTTACGTGTTGCTTTCTTACTGTCCTGCGATAAAACCTGTTAGTTTCAAATTTTCCAAGTTTTTGGACCAAGGAATTTAAACTATGTATTATTCTATGTATAACTTACACACTTCATCTATTTCTATTATCTCAAGTCTTTTCTTCATCTGTGAGAAAATTGTCCAGTGATTATTTACTACCATAAAGAGAATTGATAGTTCATAGTTGTTCGAACTCTTTATTTTTGTTTCCGCCGAATTCTACCTGGCTTTTTAATTTTTGAAAGCATCTTAAAAATCTTGCAAAGTGTGATCGAATTTTCCGTGTAAATTTTGATCGCATCTTGGATTTTTTCTTCTCTTGGGTTATTTTAAATTAGTCCCTTTCTTCTTTGCTTTCTACTTATGAAGGAATATACTTTTAGATAGTTTTCAAAATCAATATTTTGTCTATACTTGTTTTGACAATAGCATATGGGTGTGTTGCATTTAGGAAGAAATACAGAATTTCATCGTGTTATATTTCGGCAGCCTATTTCCATTAAACAGGTTTCGTTAAATAATTTAGACATGTTCTGTTTCATATTCTCGATAACATATAAAAGAAAATATATTAAATAAATGTCGGCCTTAATCCATTCCATTATATGTTGTCATATTTAGCGCTTGTTGGTTAAAAGAAGATATTTACGGACGCTATTTTTAAAATATATTTAAAGATGTGTGTGTGGGTAACTCTTTTTTGCTTAAATATAGTTTTGTGATATGATTAATAAAAAAAATTAAAAAAAAATGCAGTGGTAAAATGATGATAAAAAAGTAATGATAATAATAAAATAATACGAATTTAAAAAAGTAATATTGATATTAGTAATACTCGTAGAATAATTATAATATAGTAAAAATAAAATGATAGATCAATGTAATAAAGTAAATATGAGGTCCGAAAAAATGGAAAACTACATTAATCTTGGTCAATGTGCTTGAGGACGAATTTATTTCTAATGTATGCAAGTGCTCATTGATGCAATTTTTGTTTAAATTTATATATATATATATATATATATATATATATATATATATATATATATATATATATATA